GAAGGATCACCGGAGCCCAGCAGGCTGAGGCTGCAGTGGCCAGGAGCGGCCACTGCCCTCTAGTCTGGGTGACAGAGTGAGACTCCAATGCAAAAAAAAAAAAAAAGCAAGCAGATTAAATATTGCTAGTATACTCCAAAACTGTTTCCTTTACAAAGTTAGGAAAATTTACTCTAGAAAATCTACACTGGGAGTTTTCTCGAATATAACCACTAATAGACTGTTTAGCATTTGCAGAGAACTTTCATTTTCTGGATTTCACAATCATTACCTTTTAATCCATATAACATTCATGTGAGGTAGATAGATACCTTCAAGCATCTAAGTCTCCTGCAGGCGAATTTCGGTGCCAGCAGGAGTATTATGATTGGCACTGACTTTCCTTAATTTCCCAGAGGCCAGACACCTGGAGAGGCTTTCCTGCAGGTCTGGGTTCAGCCACGTGGGACTGCCTCCTCTTTCCTCCTGCTATTTTACAAAGATTCAGTAACTTCATGCACCATTAACCATAATGTTGTGCTGACTGTGTCAGTCTGCATTAGACACAATAAGGGAAGGGTATGTTTTGAAAGATTCTTAGAGGACCCAGTGAACTTTTACTGTGCTTTCTGTGCAGCAAATTTCAGCTGTCGACACCTCCAATACTCCAGTAAAGGTACTTTTCGTTCAGTGGTAACTTTTATAGCTCCTACTAAGTACTCAGGTTAATAAATGAGCACTCAGAATTTCTGTCTTTTGAGTTTGTATTATATTCAGGAAGGCAGAAAATATGTATACCTAGTGATTAAATTACCAACATTATGAAGTCCTTTCTTCAACCATTACACAATATGTACTGCCTTATATAGAAGGTAATGTGTAGATTATTAAAATACTGGGACAACATGCAGCAAAGGACTGCAAAAGATAGACTGGACTAAAAAGGTGCATAATTTCCTTCTTTATGAAGCATAGCAGTACCATGTAAAAAAATTGCTCTTATCCACATCATACTTAATGTATCTTCCAGGTACCTACCATGTCTTGCCTTCAGTGAAAAGTATTCATTTGTGTGTGTCTTCTGTACTCTGTTGATACTTTCTTTAAAAAGGACCATGTTTTATTCCTTTTAGTAATTGTACATATTAAATAATGTGTTAAAATCAAAAATGGAATGGATGACTCAGAGACTGTGATATATTAACTTTTAAAAATAAGTGGCACTTTTAATCAAAAGAGAGATACAAGCATGTGGCAAACATTCAAATGAAATGAATGGATCAACTGGACTCGGTGGCTCAGCCTGTAATCCCAGCACTTTGGGAGGCTGAGGTGAGTGGATTGTCTGAGCCCACGGGTTCGAGATCTGCCTGGGCAACTTGGCGAGACCTCATCTCTACAATAAATCAAAAAATTA